ATAGCTTAGTAGGTAGGGCACTGGCCACATACACAGGCTGGCAGGTTCAAACCCAGCCCGGGCCAGCTAAGATGTTTCGGCTCTTGGGTGTCCAAAGTGATAAAAATACCAAGTTAATGTGATGTGAAAATTATTAGTTTAAGTTTCATAGTGAAAATGATCAAGAATTGAGTGTAGAAATGCTAAAAAAGTACCTCTTAAGTGGAATATCACAAATTCTGTAGCTTCTCCTAAAACTTGACAAATATATATTTTTTTGCCATAAGCACATAACCACAAGCTAAGAAAGACAAGTGGGTGACCTGTTCAATGCATCCAAGGCTCTTTGGATCTGAGTTGAGGATAATATTTTGCTGGTCCCGTTTGATCCTTCCTGGTAGATTGGATTTTAGGTGAAGTTAGGAAAAGGACCTAGTTTTCCTTGATTGCATTGCTGTTTGGAGGGGGGAAGGGGAGAAGCTCATCTTTTTTTAATGAAAACTTTTTGTTATACCTGGACGAAAGTGCACATATCATATCATATTGTCAGTTGTGGATGTTCACAAACTATGGGTGCTCATCTTTTGATGAAAAAAATTCTTTTTAGGTGAAAGAGCGAAAAAAACAATTAAAGAAGGAAGGAAAACCTACAGTTGTAGAGGAGGATGATCCTGAGTTGGTGAGTTAAATATGGAAAAAGCCACCTTATCTTGTGTGATTGGGTCTATACTCATTGGTGGGTTAAAGAGAGAGAAGCCACAAGAATGATGAGTATGTGCTATCAACATTTTATTTTAACTTAAAATATGTAAATATATATTCATTCACCTTTATTTATTAATTATTTTTAGTATTATTATTTTTGAGATAGCGTCTCACTCTGTCACCCTGGGTGGAGTGCCATGGTGTCATAGCTCATAGCAATCTTGAACTCTTGGGCTCAGATGATTCTCTTGTCTCAGCCTCCTGAGTAGCTGGGACTACAGGCACCCGCCATAACACCTGGCTATTTTTTAGAAACTGGGTCTTGCTCTTGTTCAGGCTGGTCTCAAGCTTGTGAACTCAGGCATTCCACCCACCTCAGCCTCCCAGAGTGCTGGGATTACAGGTATGAGCCACTGAGCCTGGCCCTATTCACCTTTTTTTCAATTCACCCTTTTTGATACAAGGCTATGGCCTTTTTGAATGAATCCTCTGTTGGTTGGAGTTCACAGTTGAGTCTTTTATAAGTCACACACACAAAGTATAGTTTCTACCTTTTGATTGCTTTTGAAATATATTGAAAACTGAGGTCAGTGGTTCTTAACCTTCCTAATGACACAATGTATTTTCATTGTTTAAAAGGGACTGCGACTCACAGGTTGAGAACCTCTGACTTAGGTACTTGTGAAGCAAACCAAGAGCAAAATTCTAGATATTTATGATTCCTTTTTCAGTCTTTTCCTAATGCCTCAGTTGTACCTAATTCAACAGGAGTCAGTTATAGGGACTCACATTTATTGACTCTTTCAAGGAAATAAGCATTTATTTTTATAACCACTTTCATTAATTTCTGTGGTATTTAAATCACATGAGTACACTAGTGATTGCAACTGGCATACACAAGTTTGGGAACTTACTTTTTTTTTTTGAGATGAAGCCTCAAGCTATCCCCCTGTGTAGAGTGCCATGGTATCACGCTCACAGCAACCTCCAACTCCTGGGCTCAAGCGAGTCTCCTGCCTCAGCCTCCCAAGTAGCTGGCACTACAGGCACCCACCACAACGCCCGGCCATTTTTTGGTTGCAGCCATCGTTGTTGTTTGGCGGGCCTGGGCTGGGGATTCAAACCCACCACCTTAGGTGTATGTGGCTGGCGCCTTAGCCGCTTGAGCCACAGGCGCCGAGCCGGGAACTTACTTTTGCTAAAGAGACAGCTATCTATTAGTCTTGTGTGCTAATCATGCTCTAGGTAATGTTTTACAGAGGAAATAGAGAGCATTGGTTAATCCAGTGAGTTATTTAGGAGAGATTGGTAGAGAGAGATTCTACGTAAACACTTGATTGCCTTAGCAGCCTGAAAAATTTAAAGTCATTTTAAATCTTACGTATTTAAAATTGTTTTTAAAAGATTAATAGAGGAGAGTCTATCTTACTAGGGAAACTTGCTTGCAACATCTTGCTTCAGTGATTTTGGTCACAGCAAATGGTCCTATCTTGTATGTAATAAGGCTTGAGAATGACTGGGTCATCTTTTCTGCCAGCCCCTTAGTGTGGGTTTGTTCTGTTTCAGTATTTTATTAGTTTCTTCTCAGTCCTATTTTCCCTTTCTTTTAATTGGCCTGTTTAGTCTTTTGTTTTCTGAAGATTCTTACAGATCCTTTTTGGTCCTTCTAAGTTGTTAAGAACGTTTAACATTTTAGCTGGGAGTTGTGGCAGGTGCCTGTAGTCCCAGCTACTGGGGAGGCTGAGGCAAGAGAATCCCTTGAACCCAAGAGTTTGAGGTTGCTGTGAGCTGTGAAGTCATGGCACTCTACTTAGGGCGAGAAAGTGAGACTCTGTCTCAAGAAACAGAATTGAGAATTACCAGTGTAGGGTGGCTCCCATGGCTCAGTGAGTAGGGCACTGGCCCCATATACCGAGGGTGACGGATTAAAACTTGGCCCTGGCCAAACTGCAACAACAACAAAAAATAGCCAGGTATTGTGGAGGCACCTGTAGTCCCAGCTACTTGAGAGGCTAAGGCAAGAGAATTGCCTAAGCCCAAGAGCCTGGAGGTTGCTGTGAGCTGTGATGCAGTTGCACTCTACCGAGGGTGACAAAGTGAAACTCTCTTAAAAAAAAAAAAGATAATTGACTCCATCACCCCTTTAATGTTTGTCCTTATTAGAGTCTCAGGTTTGTCAGCATTGCTTTTGCTGAGCAGTGCCTGGCAGGTCACAGAAATCTGGGGCTCCTTTATTTCCCTTTTTCTGCATGTATCACTCTTTGTTCCACCATCTGATTTTAGAATATAGGCCCTATTTAATCTACATCATGGATTTTTTTTTTTTTTTT